CGGGAGGAAGGGTAATACAGCCCTCCGAGCAACTTAACGCTGTCTATAAAAAAATATCACAGCACAGCTGATATGCGTGTGATAACACCCGCGAAGAAGGAACGACGACCCACCTACCTGTACGCACCTGACTTGTGGGCGGGAAGCTCCTTTATGAAGGTGCGACGTTTGAGTGGAGCTGAGGAAGGTATGTTTATTAGAGCGGGGGCTGCTGTTACACAGCAAGTTTAGAAGATAGAACTTTGTGTTGGGTACACGTAGCCAGAGAGGGAACCGCCAGCGGGGGTGATTTTGCCAAAACTAGCTGGGAAAACCCAGCTAATTAGTAGATGCTTATGTTAACCAAGTGGCATTCTTGGATGTTATAATTCCCGATAAAGAGACTATTAAAGAGGTTTAAGTAAAAAATTTGCAGTGGCACCTTGTAAAAGATAATTAAATCTGGATTCTTGGCAGCTATCTCTTCTCAAATAGGCACAGCCCTCTCCAGCTGAACAAATAACACCAAAGCCCAAACAAAGCCCAAGAACAAGAAACCCCCATCCTGAAATGGTGTAAATTAGTTAAAAGGTAGTTACTGTTTGAAAGCAACTCTTCTGTGTTAGCACTCCGTATTTGACTTCACTACCTTTTGTTCCTGTAAAAAAACAAAGCCTGATTTTATTGGAAAAAAAGCCTTACTGAAATTTGTACAGCAAACAGGCTTATACATTTGAGTAAGTTTATAACGGAGAAGGAAGTTGTTTCAAGAGGTGGTTATAAAAGGCATGTTATATACCCCATTATGGGTGTTAAGGAAACGAGTTTGTAAAATGCAGGGACTGTAAACCAAAGTAATTTAAGTTGCATTTTAAAAGTGTTTTTAGAGTATCATTACCATCATAAAAATACAGCAAGGTACACAATGCTAGTACTGACAAATACAGAGTAAATGCAAAACCTATTAGGAAGCACTGCTTAAGTTTGACTCTTGAGGGACCTTCTGTATCAAATATAAGTATGTATTCTTCCTCATTTGAACAGAAAAGGGCTTGCTGTACTTCAGACAGATCTTTTTTTCCCTCAAAATGATGAGAAAGCCTTGTGACCAGCCAAATATAATTTACTTATTACTTTGCAACTACAGTAAAATATTCAGAAACTATACAAAGACTTTAGACAGTAAACATGTATTTAATAAAACTGCGGTTCAGTTACACTGGATCCTTGAAGAAGGAGTTCCCAGTACAACTTCATTAATCTGCTTATATCACAGAACAGTTTTCAGTTAGACATACACATTTACAACATTCAAACTCATTTGGTCCACCACTAAACTCTTCTTCCCTTTCATCTTGTAAATGTGTGTGCTCTTTTGCCTGCCTCTTCAGCAGGTGTTTACCTGAAAGACAAAGTAATTACAGTAAAGACAAGGCCTTTCTTTGCAAGATAAAATTACGTAAGTAACAATTTTAAAATAAAATCTGATTTAATTTAGCTAAATGGGACACGCTAAAGGTTTGCAAACTTCTATTCCTGAGCAGATTACACATTGCCATTATTACCCAAAAGCCCTCCCCACAGCCTTTGCTGGCCTTATGTCTAGTTGAAAAGGAAAAAAAAAAAATCCAAATGAAAAAAAAATCATGGGAAGAAGCTTATCCTTTTTCTAGGGGACTGAAATACTGGTGTATGTGCTTTTTGGAATATGAACTTTTTTCCTACAAGATTTACAGGTATTAACCACCTGCATGTGGCTTTTTTTTTTTGTAACTTTTGTTATGGTAACAGTGGGGAGTGATTCATGAAAAAGAAAAAAGATTGTTTACTTAAGTCTTGAAGTAAATTAAACTGTACTATATATACATTCAGTGTTAGATGAAACTCTCAACAGCCAAACTAATTAATAAAACAGAATTAAAGTTCAGGCAGCTGTAAAAAATTCAAAGACCAGGGCTTTTCTAATGGTTTTTGCCCCCATTTTTAAGCAATTCTGAGTTTTATGCTGTACTAGAATTCAAGATTTGCATAGCTGTATCACTGTAACAGGAAAAAAGATTTTTACTAGTAGTCTTTTAACGATTTTATTGATTTTCCTTCTTTTCTATTAAGTGCATACTTTAAAAAAACCTTCCCATGTCACATGATAACTATTAGAAATACAAAGTTTCAGTCACTGCTGATCTGGACAGGACTTTCCATTAGCAGCCAAAAAAAGATGAAAAGTTCTAATAGTTTTTTTTTTCTAAGTCAGCTGTGTTCAGAAATCTTTGCTATGCTTTGTATATCCACTTCTATGGAATTAAAAGTAGAAACTCACCATTTCTGGGCCAAAACCTTTTAACACCACCGCTGCCCCATCCCTTTTTTCCCCCCCTTTACTGAAAGTATCTAACCACTTTGATTCTCCTCCTGTTTTGGTAACTTTTGCAAAAGGAGGACAAAACACTCCACTCTACCTTAACCTTCAATTATCATTGTTATTCAAAAAGAAAAAGTTCAAAGCAGGATACAGCAGATTTGGAATTACCTTCCTCATCCACCTCCAGCCATTGGTGGCGGACTGGGGCCTCCACCCCAGTGATTTATTCGACCCATTCTACGGCGAGGATGGGCTGGAGGCCTGACAAGAAAGCAAGGAAAACAACATCTATTCAATTGGCATTAAATTGTTAAACTAGAACTATAATAACATTGTTCCTAAATTATAGTAATTAGGAAGTTAGAACCTCTGGAAAAGTTGGTTGGGTTACATGTGAAAAGCGGTAAAAAAAAAAAAAAATCCCAAAACAACCCCCCCCAAAAACCCCCAAACCAAACCCAACCCCGCTTTCATGAAAATTCTCTTACACACACTGTTCTAATTACTCCTGTCTCACAAGAGGAAAGCTACAGCTAACAGGCTTTTACACAGTCATACAAGAAAGTTAGGCAAACCATTAAGAACAAAGAAATACAGTAACTATAGTGTTTCTAGAAATGATATCCCTCTAACAAAGTGGTTTATTTATCTGTAGGTAATCTAATACATGAAATGACTGATTTAATGTAAATCAAATGCTGAGTATAAGCAAGTCTAACAAAAGAATTTCAACAAAGATGCATATTATCTATTAGGCAGGTTTGAAAAATTGTTTCAGTGAGAGTTAGAGGATACTGTTATTACAGCTATCCAAAGCTTTGTATTGTTATCAATGAGTTTCAGACAAAATATTGCACATGAACAACACTTTAGTCTTCTTACATGACCCAATTCAATGCAAGTCACAACCGTAATCTGCATACATTGTCATTTTGCTAAGACGGGGAAAAAAAAAATCAGAACTAGTGTGAATATGAAAAATTACCCTCGTCCATCATTGTATCCTGAATAGGAGGAAGATGTGTAGCCGCCTCTTCTCAAATCTGGTTGAATAATGCTCTGGAAACTGAAAAATAAAACAGGAGTTAGGTGAATTGGTTGCTAGATACAGTTTCTGAATCTCTGGATTGCAAGATAAGAAATGGCCTGGACAACAATAAGTAGCGTTCAGGAATGAACAGTGTATCTTCTCAAGATTACTGTTTAATACATTTTGGCAATTTTTCTCCTACATACGAAGATAAAAGCTGAAGTAATTCCAAATTACAGTAAGGCTCAAATCTAGAAAATCTATTTTTCTGGTAAATAAAGTGCAAGGAATGCATAAAGTATAAACCTGTAACTGAAATAATGAAGGACTGTTGAATACATCAAAAGAACTTTTTGTTTCTTAACTGGCTTTGATCTGGGGTTATAAATTTATGACTACTGCTGTGTGATTATTTTTACATAGCCAGAATCTCTTGTCACCAGTAGAAATTCTCTAAATAATATCTTAATTATTTGATCAGCTATTAGAAACTAGCTGTTTAACAAAAGTATATGCTTTTTCTTTTTGTAGTATTAAAATGGAAGAAATGTAAGAAAACTCATTTGAGCTGCCAGTAAGTTAGCATCACTTCTCATACACTTTTGGTTTTATTACATATATTATAGTGCTTAATAACCAAAGCCATATAGTCAAACGTTCACATATGTTTTGGGGACTGTAGATATGGAATGCTAAAGAGTAAATCTAACGTTTTTATTGTTGTGTTACTGATAGCACTGAGTAGCTTCTACCTACGAGGAATCTAAAATAAAGCTCATCAAAAGAATTAATTTCTACTTACAACAGAACCACGAAATCTGCTATTGACCAGAAGAAATCTGTTATAGATGACAAACTCCAAGGAGCCCGACTCTGGTTTTCCAAAACTTGTCCTGTAACATATCAAGACACAGAATGTCCAGCGACATTTAGTATGTGACACTGTACATATAGTACCTAAAAGCCTATCAGCTGAGTCTAGAATTTGCACACGGGATGGAGAAACTACACTCCATGGGCAATGCTAGCAAGCTTCATGCCCTACAGGGTGTTGTTCAAGTACTTGAAACAATCGGATCGCCACCACCAAACAGACGCCGTGTCCAGGTACACCTACAAAACCCCACCAGTCCAGTCTCTGTTTCCCTGCAAGGGATTAAGCTGCTTCTCTGTTATGCTCCCAACGTACGCAGAACACGCTTCAACTTTTCAAAGTCCTCAAAAACTGTTTAGAAGCACGCAAGGCTCAAATCCAGGCCGCAGAAAAGCGGGGGGGGATGCGGGGTTGATTTGGTAGCGACAGTGGCAGCGGGCGAGACGTGCTGCCCACTCAGGGCAGCAGGCTGGGCCGGGCCGCGGGGGTG